GTCGATTCTGTCGATGGTCTCGAGCTTGCATTGAGCTCCGTCGATTCTGTCGATGGTCTCAGTCACAACTTTCAGCAAGCATCACTGGAGCAGACCTCAGAGAACGCGGGCTCGGATGCGGGCAGCGATGACTGGGACCGAACGAGCGAGGACGAGCGGGTGGCCGCTCTGGAAGCTGCGCACCTTGCGCTCAACTCGGCCTTTGCGTCCAAACCGCGCGGCCTGACGACGTGGCAGGCGCACGACTTTGAAGCGTGGATCGCGGGTTTCGACTGCTTCACGCCAACCACGGTGTGGTCTGGAGGCGATGATCTAAGCCTCAAAGGCTGGGATTTGCGTTCTGGCGGTCCCACACCGAGCAAGGGTGCATCGCCGACGTTCACTTGCACAAAACCGTTCGATGGCGGGGTTACGAGCTTGCAGTCGCATCATCTAAGGCAACACTTATGGGCCGTGGGGAGCTACGACTCGCGCGTGCGGCTGTTCGATGCACGCATGCCCGCACGTCCACTCAGCGAAACCGACGTTGGTGGCGGCGTTTGGCGAATCAAGTGGCATCCAAGCCAGCCAGACAAGCTCCTGGTTGCCTGCATGCACGACGGCTTCAAAGTGCTCAGCCTGACCGACTTGACTCAAGACGATCCACAGCCGCCCGAGCTCAGAGGCAAGGAGTTCGAGATCGTTACGCGCTTTGACGAGCACAAGAGCCTCGCCTACGGCTGCGACTGGGACCGTGCCGCAGAGTCCGCGCCGGGAGAGGGGCACAAGGTGTACAGCTGCTCGTTCTACGATGCTACTATGCACATCTGGGACGGCCTCACAAGCTGAACCGCAATGGCACGAACGGCTGCCACTCATCAAGCTTCTTGTTTCTCCAGGACTGGAATGATGCCGTGATAATGTCGTGGTGGTTGCAATGCTGCCGATCAAGGTCGGAATGATGATTTCGAGATGCTGATTGTTGAATGCTAATGTGTTGATAGGAGATGATGCTTGGATGAGAATTGGGAGGGAGCGTGGTTCAGTCTCGAGTCGCCTCTGCGGATGCAATGGTGTGTCTGAGGTCGCGATCCGGGTACCAGGTGCGGATAAAAGTATCATCACCGACCGAGCTGAGCGTTGGACCGTTGGGACCGTTGGCCCACGACACGGCGTTGACCTCTGTATTCCTCTGGTGTCCCTCGGTGAGCACAGTCATACCTCCAGCGTGCGTCGACCTGTGTGCGAAGCCGAGCTCCTCGCACTGGGCGTACTCTCGCTCTTCGAACAGATCCTTCTCCGCCGCACGCTGAGGCTGGCCCATCTGATTCGTGCGATCGAGACGGACGTCCCAGAGCGCAATGTTGCCCGTATTGCAACCCACGGCGAGGAAGCGGTCGTCGAAGAGTGCCATGCGTGAAAACAGCGTGTTCTGGCACTGCACCGGCTCGTACAGCGTTTGCACTCCCGAAGCCACCAGATGCGAGTCGAGGAACGTCGACAGCGGAAGCGCATAGATCTTGCCTCCAGTGCACGAGGCAAAGAGCGATGTGGACGACGAGACGATCTGCGAGAGACCATGCGAACTGCGCAGCCCGACTGATGGCGAAGGACCGAGCATCGACAGATCTGGCGTCTGCCATCCCGCCGAGATAGGTGCATCTGCGGGCAGATCGGCGCCTCGTTTGCCGAGCGATGCGGGTGCAGTGTCTACCCGTGCGACTGGTGTAGCTTCGTGCGATTGGCCGACGTGACGAAGGTCCCAGCACTTGATGATGCCATTGGCCGAGCCACCGCTGAGCAACTTGTGGCCCTGCCCATCCGGCAGGTACGAGAGTGCTGTGACGCCTGCCGGGAGGGACTGCTGAGTGCGCTTCTTGCCTCTCGCTCCGACCACCGCACCGCTACGGGCATGTTTGCGACCTTTGCTAGCCATCGAGTTGTTCTCCCACGTCGTGGCATGAGCTGCATTGATCGTGAGCACCGGCCTGACGCCCACGCTATCCGAATCTTCGTCGAGGCCAGGCGTCTGCGCGCGTGAGCTTGTCCTCGCATCCCAGATACGAATCGTCCCGTCCCTCCCCGCGCTTGCAAAGACCATGCCGCATCCGCCATCGCCGTTCGTGGTCGGATCGTACACGATCGTGCGTGGGCTTCCGCCATGCCCCTCGAACTCGGCGGTGCACTTCTGGTACTCGGTGTCCCAGCTGCGGATGGAAAAGTCGCTCGCGCCCGACAGCAGGCTGCGGTCATCGAACCTCCACACCACCTCGAAGATCGCCGCCGAAGTCGAGGCTTGCCACTGCGGATTTCCCGCAAAGCATTCCGCCGCCGGATCCTGCCAGGGCAGTGTGTTGAGCAGTGTGATGCGGCCCTCGTCGTCTCCGACCGCGAGCCACTGCGCAGACGGATTGACCGAGCGCGACGAGTAGCTGTAGGCTGCACTAATTGGATGAGACAAGATCTCCTCGTCCGCAGTCCGGGGGTTCTGGAACTGGCACGAAGCTGGCGAGACGAATGTTTCGAGATACGGCGTCGAGTCTAAGATCGGCGTGCGTGCGGCGGAGAAGTGTCGAGCGTTGCTGAGAAGGCCGTGTCCGCTATGCAAGCCTTGCCGTGTGCGCAGGCTGAATAGCGAGTTGGAGAGCGTCGGAGCATTGCCGGCGCCTTCCGAAAAGGCGGAAGGTTTGTACTGTGGTAGAGTGTGTCCGGATGCAGCTGTCAAGCTCCTGCGGCTCGGGCTTTCCATCTGTTGCAGCTGCGATCGACTTGCAGATTTTGGAGACGAGGATGGAAGGAACAAGTCACGGTGCCTTTGTTGATGTTGAGAAGGGCTCGCGAGCATATGGCGAGGGCTGTCGTCGCAGCTGTCGAGAATGATCGGTCGCAGTGGAGAAGTGGCGGGTGGCGTGGGCAAGCCGTGTTGTTGACGCTGCTGACTGCGCTGCTTGACGGCCTTGAAGATGCTGAAAGCGCGGGAGGGCGTCACGTTACCGCGCACGACGAAGCCCTTCTGACGCTTGGTGGGAGTGGTTGGGATGGCTGCCGAGTTGGCGGTCATTTGCTTGGATGCTGTGCTCGCCGAGACCGATGATTTCCTCGGACTGGCAGCTTGCTTCTGTTGCCTCGCCTGCGCACGCGGAAAGAAGAGAGTTCGGGCTCCTTCCTCTTCGTCGTCGTATGCGCGAGGCCGAGCCGTCTTCCTCTGTGGGCTGCCGAGGAACGCGGCGGCAGCAGGTCCAGCTTGCAGGCGGAACGTGGATGTGGACGGGCCATTGTCCGCATCACTGTCGGCATCGCTATGGCAGCCGAGGTCATAGTCATGATCCGATGTTGTGTCTTCGTCGGACTGGTCGCCCAGGAAGAGGCGGAGCGACTTTTGTCGTCGCTGTTCGTTTGCGTTGGACCGAGGCGGGATGATGTTGTGCCTTGACGTGCTCGCCAGCACGGACGGCGAAGAGGGTGGCGAGTACATCGTGGCGTGTGGTGCTCGTTCCACGCACAACGAGTGGTCCTCACTGGATGGTCGACAGAGGATGAAGAAGGGAGGTTGGGTGGGGTCTTCTTGCCACCACCGAAACAAGCGAACGGCCAGCTCGGGGTCCACCCTCACCTCAAGAAAAAAGGCTCAGCAGGCTGCAGAGCGTGACGCATATTCTCCACTTCAGCAGCTCTCTACGCGTTCGACGCGTCTTTCCCGATTCGCGCGAGGTGGTCTGTGTAAGATCAGACACGACCACACATCCAAAGCTCGAATTTCTTTGTGGAGGCATTCGGCGCCTGGAAATGCCACGGACCAGGCAGGCACCTTTCGGCTTTTGGGTGGCCAAACTGAAGGCTGAGCTGCTTACCGTATACCGAAGGGGCTTCCAGGTGGCACCCGGAGTGTTGCTCTGGCTTGCACACGACACCTTCTCTCTTCTCGCTCCACCAGGATCTGACTTCACCTCATCTTGCATACAAACACGCTGATGGCTCTTGCTCGATCTAGCCATCAATCCGTACGCCTGCTTCACACCATTTCACCTGTCCGCAAGACACTTCTTGGCACAAGCGCCCTTGTTGCCACTGCAGCCGTCCTCTCTTCGAACGGCTACTTGCCTACGCAGCTTTCAAGTGCTGCTGCTCCCTTTGTGCAGCCCATCACCTCTTCGTTCCGCTCCTTCTCGTCCTCAATCCCTGCCGCTTTCAAGATGGGATCCACTGCTTCGTCCCAGGCCGCTCCTGAGTCGTTCCCCAAAGGCATGTCGAACTCCGAGTGGCGCACCAAGCTCAACCCGGAGCAGTTCCGCATCCTGCGCGAAAAGGGCACCGAGATGGCCGGCACAGGCAAGTACAACAAGCATTACCCCAAGGACGGCGTGTACACCTGCGCAGGCTGCGACTCGCCCCTGTACAAGGCTACGACCAAGTTCGACTCGGGCTGTGGATGGCCTGCCTTCTTCGACGCCATTCCAGGCGCCATCGACCGCCACGTCGACAGCAGCTGGGGAATGGAGAGGATCGAGATCACTTGCAAGTCCTGCGGCGGTCACCTCGGTCACGTTTTCAAGGGCGAGGGATTCAACACGCCCACCAACGAGCGTCACTGCGTAAACAGCGTCTCGATCAACTTTGACAAGGATGACGCCAAGATCTAGATGGCCTACTCGGGCTGTTTGCCTGACTGCTTCCTGATCTCTTCCTTAGTATATGACTGTGTATCGCGCTGCCGCCTTTTAATAATACATCATCCTATAATTCCATGTGATGTTTCAGGGTGCTTTCAGAACAGTGTTGCTTTGGCAGTCATGCAGACGGTGCCGGCTTCGTTGAGCGCCCAGAGCGATGCCTTTCTCCGATCGCTGCCCTCCCACGCGCCTCGTAGCCGGATTCGCTGCTCGACTGTCAGAGGCGAAGTGGCGCGGTACTCGAGTTTTTTTACCTTGCCCGAAGCCTGGTCTGCAGCAGCCGCGACGAGATTCAGTAGCAACGTCGCTGTGAGCGGACCGTGGACCAGGCAGTCTGTTAGCCGATACGGCGAAGAACAGAAAAGGTCAGCTTGATCCTCGATCTCATCAAAGTAGATCGGATAGCGACAACGCACCGGGATGACCTTCCTCGTTGCGACAGTACTCTGGGTCGAGATGAATGCGGTGAGCATTGAATGTCACGGCTGAGTAGCGGAAGAGTGCCGCACGGGTGGCGTAGTAGTCGAAGCCAAAGTCGGACTGCTTCTCCTCCACTGTGAGTCGTGATGGAGAAGTCGAGGGTGTCAGCGCTGGCTCGCTACTTTGCCACGATCGACAAGCACGTTCTTGGCATTGGATCAACCTACCTTCCTCTGCCTTTGGTGCTGCATCGGCGGATGGAGGAACATATCGACGTTGCTCTGCGGGACGCTGCTTTCGATACACATGGCACCTGCGCTCGGTCATGACGACGCCCTCCGGACTCGAATACACGAGCTTCCTCGTGACCAGCACCATCAAGCCTGTCTTCGTACCCTGTTTCGGCTTAACGCTTTCGACTGCGACTTCACAGCGCACCTCTTGGCCGATCTTGAGGTCTCTGCCTTGCTCGAACTCGAATGATCCGCTCGCCCACATACGTTGGTCCAGCCCGCCAGGTGGCCCAAATGTCCTCTCTGTGCCATCGGATCCGAGCGTGGCCTCGCTCAGCAGTGGGTTGAACAGCACCAGCTCGGAGCCTAGCGGCATGGGGCCTCCATGCGAAAGCGCCAGCGCATCTTCGGTGGTGTTCTTCTCGAACAGTTCCCTGGCAGAAGAGGTAACGGAGGCTGTGGCTGCTAGCTTGGGTAGCACAAGCAGTACTTGCCTTGCCTTGTTGAGGTCTGCAGTGTCGTGCATCGTGCTCGTACGTGCCTGCACCGTCCGTGTCCATTCGTCCAAGCTTGTGCTCGAAGATGCCTGCTGTTGAAACACCGACCGAGATGTTGACAACTCTCGAGTACTCGTAAGAGCAGGTGTCCGGGCTCGTACCACCGGCAAAACTAGCCGTAACAGAGTGCGAGACTGCATGCTTGGCAGCATCTTCGGTGTCGTTGGAGACAAGGATGAGGTGGTGAATTGCTCGGTCGGCTTGGGCGACGGGCAGGGGTGGGGGTATCGTGCTCGAGCTCTTCACAGGACCGGCGGTGTGAGCGGGGTTTCACCCCGGCTTATGTTGTGGAGGCCGTAAAGCCGCGTGCGGGGTCACTCAGCGGCCGGCGCATTTACGACGCCTGCAAAAGATATCGAAGTGTTACGCCTCATTTGAGGAACACCAAGAATGCGAGCGTTTTTACTCGAAACGATTGCGCCATTTCGAAGATTGACGTGCATGTGATGCGAGAAGATCGCGGCTCTGGATTGGTTGGCGCTGACGGAAATTGTGGGAGAGTTGGATTGCCGTGCGGTGCTCGCGCAGCTGATAACCTGTAGATGAAGATCGAGCGACGGGAAGTTGAGCCGAACCCGCCAAGCACAACCTGCAGCGCCGCACAGACACACAACCAGGGTCTGGAAATGAGCCGCTGGGAAGGCAGCAGCTCGGAAGAAGAAGCTCTTGGAATTTTGTGAGCGAGTCGCACTCAACCGGGCGGCCGCGGAAGATGGTTCGGGATGCAGGCATTTGCGGTTCTTGTCTCCCGCACACCACACACGGTAACCATCTTTACACATCAACCATGGCGACCAACATCACGTTCCACCCGGGCCACGTCTCGTACGACGAGCGTGCCGAGCTGCTGTCGCAGCAAGGACTCACGATCTGGCTCACCGGACTGTCAGCCTCGGGCAAGTCGACGATCGCCACTGCGCTCGAGCAGCACCTGCTGTCGCTCAAGAAGTCAGCGTACCGTCTTGATGGCGACAATATCCGCTTTGGCCTCAACAAGGACCTCGGCTTCTCGCCCAAAGACCGCGAGGAGAACATCCGTCGCATCTCGGAGGTCTCGCTGCTCTTTGCGTCGTCCACCACGATCACCATCACCTCGTTCATCTCGCCGTACAAGGCGGACCGCGAGATCGCAAGGAAGCTCCACGAGGCGCATGTGCCTAAGCTTCCCTTTGTCGAGGTGTTTGTCGACGCCAGCATCGAGACGTGCGAGAGCCGTGACCCCAAGGGTCTCTACAAGAAGGCCAAGGCCGGCGAGATCAAGGAGTTCACCGGCATCTCGGCACCTTACGAGAAGCCCGAGAACGCCGAGATCCACATCAACGCCGACACAACTTCGATCGAGGACTCGGTCCGCATCATCACCGAGTATCTCCTCAACAAGGGCTACCTCAAGCTCTAAGTGGCCAGAGGGCCCATAGATCAAGCTGCTATCACAAATTGCCATCCCCAGAAAATACAAGCCCCACTTGCTGAACGAAGCTTAGCTTGTCGTTGATGTGCTGTTGCTTGTTTGGCGATTGTGAATACCTTGAGAGTTGAGCTCGCAATCCCTTGGAAAGTGAGCGGCCCATTGCAAAGGTTGCAATTCAAGATTGTGCGTTGCTGAACCGCCCTAACATCCGGAACTCGGCGCAAGGCCCTGACAATCCTGAAGATCGGCTCACATTCAAGATCTGCCGATCCGACGTGGCACTGACCGTCGGTTCCATCGGAAGAGGCAGCGGATACAGAGCGGGTTGAGGATCCGATTCACCAGCGGCTTTGGAGCTGCCCTGCGGAAAGCTGCGAGAAAAGCTAGCGAACTCGCTTGACGTCGCTTGCGACAGGCGGCGAAGCAGCGACCGAATGTGATCTTGAAGCTGCAAAGCATGGTCCGGGTCGCCCTTTTCGGATGCATGTACGCCTCGTACGTCAGACGACGCTGCAGACGCTGCAGGTCAGACAACGGAAGCTGATTGGCGTGCAGTCGCAGCTGCAAAGCTGATCCGCTATGACAACTCCGCAGCCTCGAATAGGAAAGGAAGCTGCAGCACAAAGCGAAGACGCCGTCCAAGCGAACAAAGGGTGGGAATCGGCTTCGTGCCGAGGTGGGAATAGCAGCGGATCGCCCACGGTGAGAATCACTTTGAGAATCCGAGTTGGAGAGAGGTGACAATGGCACTTGGGGTGTGATGGTGTCGGCAATTCCGCTGCGTTCCTGGTCCCGAGCGCAAAGCGTTCCCACGGAAGCGGAACACAGCCGAGCTGATCCTCGATCCGAATTGTATGCGACCGCTGCCCTCGGTGCCGGAGTTGCCCTTTTCAGCATCCAGGATTAAGCGCATCGGTAGCCCGTCTGAATCGAGATGTTCCTCTCAGGTTGTCCGCGTCTTGGGCCAACAGGGCATCGAGAGATTTCTTTCAATTCGAGTGAGGGCGTGCATCCGACGATGCACGGAAATGTGTAGCGCTTCTGCGTTGCCATCGCCCCGGATAGTGTTTCCTCTGGCGTTGGTTCCATTTGCTCCTGGCTCACATCGACGACATATTCAGAGTTCGCATAGCCAAACTTGTCCCGTCGGTCATGTTGGCCGAGTGAAGGCATACAGTGCTGCCTAACATCCATTCCGGTTCCTGAATGTAGCGCAGGAGACCCAAGGCGCAGGCGATATAGCACAAACGACGGAACGCGTGACACTCGCAACGTGCGCAGGAATGGCCTGTGCCTCCCTAGCTCGGCAGCGCGACCGACTTGACTCGGCTGCGCCCAAAGACACCAACCGAAAAGACGCACGCACGCGAGCGTTCCCGTGCCTCCCGAGCAGATCCCCCACGCTTCTCTCAGCTGCCAGCCATCCCGCTGCATACCGCTACACAGGCGGGTCACTTGACGACAACAACACTGCCTGAAAAGTGCACGACTTGAAACTCAGACTTTGACACCGCAGCCTTGCTGTGTGTTGCTAGCCGCCCTACCTACGGTCGCGCAGAAAAGGCAGCAGCGGCACCATCGCATCATGCCTCTGTCTGTGCGCGGCCGGACTTTGGCGAGCGGCGTCGAGAGTTTGTACCCTGCGCCCTGCGCACACTGCGGCCTGTGCATGCCTTATTTTCTTGGCTAGAGTAGCGACGGCGCAATGATGGACGCTCCATATAAACCGTGCGACCTGTTCCTTGAGCACCGTGCCGTATCCCTACGTGCCCCGTCCTCGTTGAACCTTACCTTTCGCCACCCAACACCGCGTTCACTGTCAATATGAAGGTCTTCGCTTCGTTCCTCTTGCTCGTGCTCGCCGCCATCGTGGCCGTCCAGGCCACCCCGCAGCCCAGCCCGCAGCCCACCGCCGCCCCCAAGGTGGAGAAGAGGCAGGCCAGTAAGTAAAGCTCGACCGCAGCTTTCCATTGCTTAGGCGCATGTATTGCAGATGGCTGATGCTTGCCTTGTATGGTGTGTCCGCGTCATCTTGGCCCTATCGCTTGCTAGGCTTTGACCCCTACAACCTCTCGCAGTACACCAACCCCGGTGCGCTGTCTTCGCTGTCCGGCTATATTGCATCGCAGTTTGGTGCTCTCAGCGGCATGTCGCTCGACCCCAGCTACTCTTCGTTCATCGCATCGCAGGAGAGCCAGGCGTACTCGTACCTCTCAATCGCCTCTTCTATCGCTGCGAACGGCGGCGCCAGCAACTCGGACCTCGGCTCGCTTCTTGGCTCGCTCACCGCCACCATGACCGGCAGCACCAACGGCCAGGGCAACACTAGCGCCAACAGCGGCCAGAACAATGGCCAGAGCAACAGTGGATCGGCTGCCGGAGCTTCGGCCACCACATCCAAAGCCGCCAACGCTGCCGTGGGCACCACCGCCCAGCTTCCCGTCTACCTCACCGGCATGGTTGCTTGCACCTTTGTCGCCGCCCTCGCTGGTGCATTTGTCCTCTGAGCGGGAGGTGCTGGACGCAACAGCATTCAGGCATCCCTCGACCGGCGCGCTGTCGCGCAACGAGGCCGTCGACACAACCGAAATCGTGACCTCGTCCTATGTTCGCCGTTGTCGCCAACACTACATTCCGAGGTCTTTGAATGTGAATTTTTGCAACGATGACTGCCTCGAAGAATGGTGAAAGCGGTTTCGCCACTCTAGACCAGGGCGGAGGCCGAGTCAAGTGGCATGTTGTGCGGTTGTCGCCAGATGGAGAAGGGCAGTGCGAAGCTCAAACGGCGTTGAGGCCAGTGATGGGTTCGGGACTCGGAGATGAGCGCGTGCAATTGGCTCAAAAAACCTCAGAGGTAGAAGGCGACAGGTGTTGATTTCAAAGCCTCCACAATTCTCACCTACTCGAACGTCGACCGAGACGCAGACGCAGCATCCGACGAGAGTTTACTCTACGTTGTCCCTCGTTGGAGCTTCGCACCCTCAAAGCCATCAACATCACCTTTAGTCACAGCAACTGCAAGCATGGTAGCTGCTATCACGTCTCGAGCAGCTGCTCGCGTTACACCGCGCCTGCGAGGCGCCCTTGCGGACAGCCACATCGGTTCGCGCGTGATGATCTCGACACGCATCCCAGCTAACCAGGTAGGAAGAGCAAGCTCATCGAAGGTCGCAGTTGCGCCGAAACACCGAGCATCAGGATTCTGCAACACCATTCCACAGGTCACACGTAACTTCAGCTCCTCGTCAAGCCGCCAAGGCAGCTCGTCTGGTCGCACCACGGTCAAGGATCCGGAGCCGCAAACCGGACTCTACTACCATCCTACCGAGATCAGCGTTGCACGCGGACCGGGCGAGGCTGCCGAGACAGTGGAAGGCTGGGCGGTCTCGTTCCTCTCGCAGCCTTCCGCGAACGACGATGCTGCGATCGCCTTCATCCTGCCGACCACATCGTCGTCTTCGCAGGATTCCGAGCCAGCCGACTTTGTGCGGGCCAACCCCGACAGAATACGCATCAATCCAGCAGGTTGGAAGATCATGCACGACGTGCTGAAGAACGAGGTGGTTCCCAACGATGACCTGCTCAAGTTTGAGGCGTCGACGCGAGAGAGCGGCTGGGCGCATCTGACGGACCTCCGGCACCCGCTCATGCCCGGTCGCATCGCTACGCCGGAAAACATCATCGCCTCGGTCGCTTTCACCGACGGCACGCTCAAGGTGGACAGCTACGAGATCAACAACTCGTACAGGCTCGTCACGGGCTACGAGGGCCCCATCCAGATGGCCGACTCTTGGATCGAGAAGCTGCGCAGCCGATTCAAGAAGCTCTAGCTTTGATCCTGTCGCCGCAGATGAGCCGCATCGTCGAAAGCTCACAATGCCGAATGTCATTACCATGCCGATCAGGTGATTGTCTGTGTGCATGGGTATCCACATGCCTCACCTTGATCTGTACGGTCACCGATACCTCGGAAGAACGGCCCGGAGGTTGGTGTGGCCACCAGGAGGCCGCTCCATGCTCCGCGGAATGTCGCCGCCAAGCCTGGCCCGCCGTGTGAACAGGCTCGATGGAGAAGTGAAGCGTTAAATTTATCCATCTGTTAGACCGATATGCACAAGCCGCTTGGCGCGAAGCATCGGTGGTAACCTCGCCCGGATATTCTGACGGAAGCCCAAATGTGCTCTTGCTCTGCCCGCCCGCTGCGAATTTTGTTGCTCTGGCGATGATCAGGCCCGAAAAGGCGCGGAGAAGCATGTCGCTACCCCACATTCCTCCCCGCTTCCACGCAAGACAGGCAAGACAATGCCATTTATTCGCCCCCAGATCCGCTCTCCGCCTCGGACCACTCCGCACGCTGTGTGTGTGTCTGTGTGCGTGTGACAGCATTCCTGTTCATCACAATCACGAGCACAAGTGTGTGGCGACCGATGTTGAGGGTGTGGCTTCCCGTGTGAAATCGAAATCGGTCGCTTGGTCACTCTGAAGCATAGCATGAATCAGAATCCCAGGCTCGCAATCACATCACGCTTGGGATGTGGATGTGCCGATGAATGCGATACGCCGTCGACGATAGAAGCAAGCTGCATCGTCATCCTTGCTGACGCCGCCTGTGATTGCCACGAGCGCCAAGATGACAGCGCTGGGCGCTATTCGGTCGCTTGCATCTGATCACGCGCCTCGCAAGGCGGTGCCCGACCAACACGCGGCGGTCACCATCTGCAAGCGCTGCTGGGCGGGAGCTCCGCACGTAACTCCACACTGCCCAAGTGCGCGTCGCCTTCTTCCCGCGCCTATGTGCGCACCTGTCCTGTCACCGCATGCTCGCAATCTGTCGCCTCCTCCTGTCACAACCGGGACTTTGCAGTGAATCGGCGCGCCGAGCGGTGCAGCTCAGCTCGCATGCTGCTCTTGGAAGCTCAATTCTCCACCTCGAATGCAGCGGGTCGCACTCAGAGCTGCGGTCCATGCACTCGTTCCTCCGTCCGAGGTGTCCACTCGAGCTGAGCTCTCCCGTCGGATCCAAATCCTTATTTAACCCTCGATGCTCACTCCAACGTTGCTTTGACACCCCTAGTGCAAGGGCTGACCCAGCCAACTCTCTTTCTTTCACGACCCTTCGAGCCATTCACGATCCTACCTAGTAACGCTTCCTTTCCGACCATCGACTCTTGTCTCCGTCCATCTTGACGGCGTTCCCTCTCCTGTCTCTCTCGCCCGACGCTCTGGTCACCAGGCCGAGCCAAGCAACCTTGTCCACATGCCCGCCTTCACAGCCTTTGGTGCAGCCGGTTCGGCGCAAAAGCACATCGACCTGCGCTCGGACAATGCCTACATTCAACATGCCTTCGATCTCACCAATGCGGTACTGGAGCGAACGGGGCTGGTGCTCCACCTGCTCGCCCTCACGCTAGCCTTCCTGATCATCAAGTACCACAACCGTGTCATCTTTTCCAAACCGCCAAGGAAGGAGCTCTACTGCCCTCCTGCCCGTCCGCTCATCGGCCACACCTTGGAGGCCATGAGGCGCAACGACAACAGCATCCTCGACTGGTTCCTCGAAACGGGTCGCGAGAACCCCATTGGATTCAGCCTCTCCATCGCCGGCACCGGCACGGGTCAGATGCACGTCGTCCACAGGCCCGAGTACATCGAGTATGTTCAAAAGACCAACTTTGAAAACTTCGAAAAGGGCCTCGAGTTCAAGAAACGCTTCCTCGACCTGCTTGGCCAGAACGGCATCTTCAACTCGGACGGCCACGTCTGGAAAGCGCAGCGCAAGATGGCATCGCACATCTTCTCCGTCTACCAGTTCCGCACCTGGGTCCAGACGGTCGTCCACCGCGAGCTCGACAGTGTCACCGGCATCCTGGACGCTCTGACCGAGGGCAAGTCGGCCGACAACCCTGCCACCTTGCTGCTGCCCGACCTATTCTTCCGATACACGCTGTCGTCGTTTGGCAAGATGGCGTTTGGCGCAGACATCGACTGCCTCAGTGCCGACCCGAGCTGCCTGCACCAGGAGGTCGAGTTCTCCACCGCCTTTGACTTTGTCCAGATGGTCATTGACAAGCGATTCCGTCTGCCCTTCTGGCAGATCATCGAACGCTTTTCGTCCGAAGGCAGGAAGGCCGCCAAGATGGTCAAGAAGATCAACGACTTTTCCGTCACCATCATCGAGGAGCGTCTGCGCGAGCGGGCCGCGGGTATCCAGAAGGAGAAGAAGTCTTCGGACGGCAAGGAGGGCAAGGATCTGCTCGATTTATTCATGGATGTCACGACGGATCGCGACGACCTCATCTCGGTGGTGCTCAACTTTATCATTGCCGGTCGCGACACCACCGCCCAGGGCCTCTCGTGGCTCTTCTACGAGCTCATGAAGCAGCCCCAGTACGTGGATGAGATCCGCAAGGAGGTGCGCGATGTTCTCGGCGAGGCAGACGGAAGCATCCGCAAGCTCGACTACGACACCGCCAAGGACCTCGTCTTCACCCAGGCCTGCTTCAACGAAGCCATCCGTCTGCATCCGCCGGTTCCCAAGAACGGCAAGCGCGCCATCAAGGACGACGTGATCATCCCACAGGGACCCACGGCCGCTGGCCTTCCGCCGATCAAGATCTACGCCGGCGAGCTGCTCTCGTGGTCCGACTGGGTCATCGCGAGGAACCCGGATGTGTGGGGTCCCGACTGCTGCGAGTTCAACCCGTACCGATTCATCGAAACGAGCAAGGCGGCCGACGGCACCGAGACGCGCAGTCTCAAGAACTACGGCCAGTGGAAGTTCCACGTCTTCAACGGAGGCCCGCGCCTGTGCCTCGGCATGACGCTCGCCAACTACGAGGCGCTCAGCATGGTCGCCGCCGTCATCGACCGATACCACTTTGGCTGGGGCACCAAGGCACAGGGACAGCAGGCGGACTGGCCGCTCAGGTATCTGACCTCCGTCACGCACCCGTGCCAGATGTACACGGCCACCGTGGTCCGACGCGAGGAGGCGGTGTAGCTGTCCAAATTCTCGACACGAGTTTCTTTATTTCGTCCGTTCGCAACTTTTCCATTTGGCTGAATTCCATTGCCTGTGGCTGCTGTGGCGTCACTTCTCGGATCTGTCTTCGGACATTTGCCGATAGCGAGACGGCGTTATGGGTGGTGGTGGTGTAAATCGTAGCTTCGGCACTCGGGTACCGAAGGGTTGGCGGGGGCCGGCGTTGTGAACCAACCGACCGGATTGGTGGGACCGAAGCTTGCGTTGTATTGGCGGCAACGGCTATCGGTTTGACGGAGCGTGGGGTGGGCAATTGGGTGCGGACGATTTGAGCGAGCGCGGGGGAATTGGCTCGGCGACGGTGAATTTGGTTGCCGATGCAGCGCAAACACACCGATCCTCGCCGACCAAGAAAAAAACGCGGGGAGAGAGTTTGGCCGCGGCGAACTTTCTCCCACTGTTCGCTGCGACGTTGTTGGAGTCCATCCACGCCGGGCGGATCGTATGCCTGGGGCTCGGCACTATGTGGAGATGCTCCGACGTCGAGGCCGGTGAACTTTGCGGCCGGCGTCCCGACCCGCCTAGACCTCCCTCGTGATGCGACCTCCGTGTTTGTACCCCCACACAAGCACAACACGAATGTATATATACTTCACGCTCACCTTGTTTGTCGGATCGGTCATCATATCTCCACTATAACGATCATCATGTTGGCAAGGACGCTGCTTCGCTCTCACGTGCGCCCCGTGGGGCTCTCGGCACAGGCGCTTGCCCCAGCACGCACATTCAGCACTTCGCCACGCTACTTGAAGCCTGCAGTGGAGACGATCTCGTCCAGCACGCCATCGCCACCACCTCCCACTATGAAGGCGGGCAAGGGGGAGGGTACTATCGCTTCTGTCTTCGCCACGCTTTCAGGGGGCACATTGGAAGACGCACTTCCGGACCGCTTTGCCGACCTTAAGCGCTCCCTGGTCACATCGCCCTCGCACGCAGAACACCTTCAGACGACTTGGCGCAGCGTCCTCTCTGCACTGTCCGCCCGCGTTGCCGAGACGGAGCGTCTTGGCGGAGACAGCATTCCGGAAGTCACGTTTCCCTCTACTTCGGATGTTGGCCCGCTGCAGAGCTGGACGGACGCATCAACGTATGAGGCGATCCAACAACGCGGTGTTGCGGTGATCCGCAACGTGATCCCCTCGGAACAGGTGCTTGCGTGGAAGGAGGACATCAAGGCGTACGCGGCCAGGAACAATGCCAAGGGCTTCCCGGACGACAACCCGCAGGTGTACGAGCTCTACTGGACTCCCGCACAGCAGGCAGCGCGCACCCATCCCAACCTGCTCACCACCTCAGAACGATTCCTGCAGCTCTTCCACCAGCCGGCGTCCAACTCTGCGCTGGGCGTCGACACAACAGCTGTGCTGGGCCAGCCACTGAACTACTGCGACCGACTCAGGATCCGACAGCCTGGCGACGCCAAGTTCGCGCTGGGCGCACACATTGATGGAGGAGGCGTGGAGAGGTGGGAGTGCGACAACTTCCGCGGGCTGTGGAGTTCTATCCTGCAAGAGAAGGGGGATTGGACCAAGCATGATCCGTGGTCGCTTGGTGCCAATGGCGAGAGGATGACTGCCAAGACGGATATGTACGATGGGCCTGGGCAGTGTGCGGTGTTTCGGCCGCTGCAGGGGTGGTTGTCCATGTCGACAACGCGTGCAGGCGAGGGAACGCTCAAGGTCCTGCCGTTCCTGCGCGAGTCGACGGCGTACATTGTGCTGCGGCCCTTCTTTCAGCCCCTCATCCCTCGCGCACAATGCAGCACCGAAGCGCAGTTCCTGCACGCCG